ACGCTATTTAATGGTTCTTGTGGCGTTTTGTTCGCTTCGAAAACCTCAAAGAGGCATGTGGCAATGTTACACTGTGTGCACATGTTAATCTTTTGTTACGATCAGCTATTGTGTGGAGTCGGCAGGTGAATTAGGTATACCTAGCGGGTTTTATAATTTAAAGTTAATATGTCAGGAGGCCTTGTATTTCTCCAAACCATAAATTAAAGACCTTATTTGATGTCCCTAGCTCGTGTCACTTTGCCATTAATCTAATGTAATTGACATTGGACGCTTGGACAAGAAAGGCTTGAATTTTACCTTAAGATTTATTGTTGAAATACTTGGAAGACAATTTGATATATTAAAATAAGGCCGTTTTTAAAGACAATATAAATACGTTCTAAGTTTAAATAGTTACTTATTATATTAGCTCTTCAGAAGTGTTTAACTGCAAGCCTAGATATTTATGTATTTTAAAAAATAAATTAGGCTATCCTAAGTAATTTAAGTCTAAATTACTGATTAGTAAGGTAGGTTAAGTTGTAATGTTAAATGAAGTACAGAGAAAATTTATAAAAATAAAAAATAGGATCAAGTTTGCTACGGTAGGAATGAAAAATATGGTTATTTATGTCACTGAATCAGGCCGATTCTAACACACACGCTTCAGTTACACACACACACGCTTCAGTTAAACACACACACACACGCATTCTCTCTTTACCTATTATTGTTTAGTCTATAACCATTTAATTGGCGTTTTGATTAAAAAAATATTTCCGTTTATGTTTTTAAATAAAACATTACATTATGTTTTTAACTTGCGCATATATCATATATTCGTTATCAACTTCAATATATACGAACTCATTTTCAAACCTGTTTTAGCGATATCAAACTTTAATTACTCTAACTTAAACTAGGTACCTTAAAATTCGCTGTTTTTACGTTTACCGAAAATGTTATACATATGACATGTACGGTCTTTATAACTCATAAACGAATGTGATTTTAATTTGTTCTTAGAATACGAATTCACGAAAGCAATTTCAAGGTTATCCTCTGTTTTGTTTTTATCTGCTGTTAAAAGAAAACAAAGATATGCATTTCGTAATGTAATACAGCTATGACAGTCTGTGGTCAGAGTTTATCTGTGGCGGATAAATATAGGTAACCTATCGAGCATGACATATTCATAGATCATAGAATTTCTGTCTAAGAATAAAATTTTAATCTTTGTTTATCTAAGCATAACTAAAGCATCAACGTATTTTATTTATATAGTTAGTAAAATGGCTGCATGAGTCGCTTGTCTATTGGAAAGCATTTTATTTAACTTTTTTTCTCTAGTTAAAAATGTACGTAAGACAAGTTGCTATGGTCCACAGACTTAAGCCGGGTGGAAAGTTCACACTGTTCAAAGAGTAGAAAATCTTTTTTTTAATAAATTTTAGTCGCACCAAATCCTTTGCAAACCAAGGCACAAAAACAAAATGTTGTTTCAAATTCTAACTAGTACATTTTCAATTATAAGAAAAATGATAAAGCAGTTATTTCGTTTCAATAATATTAAAGAATTAAACCAAAACCAAATAAACAAATTCCGTCCACTAAATTAAATGAACTGAACATTAAGAAAACTTAGTAGGTAATATTAATTAATGGAAGTTAATTGGAAGTTACATGGACTATGCATCATAGCACATAACGCAATAATTACTGCATATTTATTTATAGACTAAACTTAATGAATCAATATAAATAATTACGATTCAAAGAAATGTTTTTACATAAAACATATATATTTATAGGTCATATGATATACAGTTGAAATATAAATAAAACAAACGAATCCTAAGCCCTCTGGTAATTTAAGTCGGTTAAGAAGATTTAAAAAAATCCGTGGTGCTATAACCTTTTTAGGTCTGGCCAGTTCTGTATCTGTTTCATGCTCATTTGTCAATTTAATGGGCAAGTAGGTGATCAGCCTCCTGTGCCTGACATACGCCGTCTAAGGCAAGCCAAGCGAATGTTAAATGCGCACAGACAGAAAGTCCATTGGTGCACAGCCGGGAATCGAACCTACGAGCTCAGGGATGAGAGTCGCACGTGCTTCAACAAGAATATAATTAAGAAGTACCATTTAACCATTTCAGCATAAAATTATTTTTAGTCGAAGTAGGTCGCTTAGACTTCCCAAGAACCCTTAGATCTTTAACTTGCGCCTGTGCACTTGCTCCCTCTCCCTGACTCTTCAACATTGGAATGCTGATTCCACACACATTGGGTTCAGAAACACTTGTTCAATCGATGTCACTGTTTACATTAAAAATCGTCTGCAAACAGAAGACAGAACAGCTTCAACGCCTAAAATCCGATTCGAAAATAATTTATTATTCCATTCAGTGGACGTGATAACATTTTATCAAAGCTTTCAAAATATAAGTGAAAAAACTAACGTAGACTAAGAGAACTAGAACAAAACTAACACCCAGTGGCTTTATTATTATTATATCTTCAATTATTGAAAAATACGCTTAAATGATTTAAATTACGACGCAATAGTTCTGTAACTAAAATAGAAATGTTTCCTTAAACGCATTGAAAAATATATGAACGAACTAAAAGTTCTTGTTATCAACAAATATAAAAGCTTATCTGACTGGAAAGACGTGTTTCCAGCCAGTTTGAGATTTCTTACAACTGCTAAATAAGGCTGTTATCAGCATCATCTTCGCTGTTTATGGTACGAAAAACTAATATCACATGTATGTTGTATGGAAACTTTCATGCTAATAATTTCAGTTTTATATTAGCAAAGTATACCTATAAGGTAATCCATTAAAAACCTATCAAATAAGACACCATTGTTTTTAGTTAAAAACGTTTTTTGGATCATGTTTATTTGGAAAGCACAGAGCCCGGTAACTCGTCTATTGTCTTTTACCTAAAAGCGAAATATGTATATTGTACCTCTAAGTAGTAAAATGAAATAAAATTTTAAAAATATTAAAAGAATAATATACCATTTCCTCGCTATGGTATGAATATGATATGCGGGTGGCCTTATTGAAATCTTTTTGATTTACTTAAGTAACCTTAAGTTTACGTTTAAAGAACGAATCTGAGTACAGCTTTTAGAAGGCTAATACATATAATCACTCTATTAATCAGTCGAATATTTATACTTTGAATGACCTTGTGACGTCACGTCAATGTCGAATTGAGTCATTTAAAATTCGTGATACTCTCAAAAGAACAGTCATCATACCAGACCGTAATAGTTATTTTTGCGGTAAATTTAAATTATTACTTGAAAAATCATTAACTGAAGGTCATTTTATCACGCTTCAGTCGTCACACACACACGTCAACACAAAATGTAATGTCTCCACGCTACTATTAACTTACTTTTTTATTCTAACTGGCCGGCCAAATAAAATAACTAGAATAATAAATTCATAAGGTGTCCCTAATCACAACGGTTGCGGTACGTATACAACAAAATTAAAATATCACTCCACAAATCCCGTGACACAAGATATGTATAAATATACAGATTATCTTAATTAATTTTATAAGCACAGATAAAAATTCTACATAGCTCAGTGACATTAGTTAACCTATTGTACATATACGTCTGTTACATGCCGGAAATAGATGCATTTGCTCGATCATTGGAATGATGTCATTTTAAATGTACTGATTCAAACGGGTGACTAAAAGACACGATAGAAAATGGCCTTAACGTAGGCGCCATGGCCTCAGATGCACAAAACAAATATACGCATTTTCTTGGCCATAAAGGATCGCGTTTATCTACCAGTGGGCGAATGCTGTCAGCACGGAAGGAATTATGAAATCACGTTTCACAGACAATCTATAATAATACCATAAAGATGTAGAGTTGTGTTATTTGCGCGCTAATCTCATTAAATACCTGGTCAAATTTAAAACTTCTTTTAGCGTTAAATAGTATATATACCGATATCGAAAAAGCTTAGTCAAAATAATTAGAATTGAAATCGCGGGGGACTGGCTGGTTTGATGTATAATAAATGAGGAAATTTCGTTTATTTGTTTAGACACATATACCCATAATCGTCACTCTATAGACTATGGTCCTTAGAACTGAATCATTTTTTTTGTATTCTGTGTCTAGTACAATACTGGTTAAAAACCAGTGTAACTAATGTAATTAACGCCGAGGCTAGAGTACGAAAGTAGGTGATCGATTCTGTAATATATAATAATTTAAATAATAAACGTTATTAAAATACTTCCGAGTTAGTTCTTTAAAACGCATAAAAGGCATTTATTAGGCACACGGCCAAATTCGTACATTTTTTTGATGTATATGCGAATTTGCTAACTTTAAGATAGCATATTTCGACTTCGAATATGGTATTTTGGTCAACGCCTATAAGATAACACAAAAAACGCATTACTTGTTTTAAGATAGGGAGGCCTTAAGACGAGATTACGTGAACGACTTTAAAAGGTAATGACACAAGAATGTTGAGGTCATTTCAAATTGTATTTTTAAGTATATGATAAAGTTCCTCAAGGAATGTCATTTGTCATAAATTGTTCCAAAGATAATCGGATTTATTTAGTATTGTCCGCGCTCGCCCTCTCAGCTCTCAGATTAACAATAAACTTTTACATAATATCATTGTAATTAAGTAAAATGACAAGCCACGGAAGGGTTTTAGAGGTTAAGTTTATAAAAGTAATAATTATTGTAATGCGCTTGCTGGATTCAAGGAATGTTATAAAAATTTCATTTTATGGTTGATTAAGTTTTATCTTATTTATGTGATGCGTATGATTTACTTATAGTTGCACTGATAAAGCAAGATAAAACACAAAATAATGCTCTCGCTCGCGAAGGTCGCGTCGCTAACATTGATAGTTTAGTGTGTTTTATCTCCCGAATGTGTAAAGAAATACCTATATTTAAAGAAATATTTAACTTAATTTACTAGTTCTAGAAAGTCTTAAGATGTATAAAACACTTACCCACAAGTACAGATCTCACAGATGCATTGCTCCTTACAGACTTTTTCTGGTTTCCTGGGACCACCGGGACCACCGGGACGTGGTCTGGTTTCGTCGGTGTATCTTTCGCGGATGACCGTTGTATCGTCTCGCACTGTTTTTCTATCATCTATGATGGTCTCATCATAGACGGAGCTGACGATATCTTCGCGTGTGGTATTAGTTGTTGCGTGATCGACCACGTCGTATTCGTAAACATCTTTCGTTGTGCGGACATCCTTCTAAACATAAATAGTCATTAGTAATATAGTACTGCTAATGTAAAAATGTAACATTAAGTTGTATAACGTACCAAGTTTTTGATGTCTAACGAGCTGTTGTCGACAAACACATCTGTTTTGACTTTATCATCTTCCTTCGCATCTTCATATATTGTTTCCTTCCTGGTAATACCATTTTCAGTTATGTATCTTGTTACTTCGATTTGACTCCTTGTTTTATCAACTTCAAATGATTTTTTCACCTTCTCTCCAGTTGTTGTACTTAAAACAGTCGTTTCTTCGGTATCAATTCCTTCATATAAATCCTTAACGTCCTCATTTATCTTTGTGCCAAAAGTAACTTTATCAATTCTTTTAAATGGATACTTTTTCACTGTTTCTAGGATTTCTTTCAAAACCCTGTCATCTATATTTCTCCTTATCACAATATTCTTGTTGCTTACTGTAACATCCTTGTTTGTTTGTGATGTTTCAATGATTTTGCGCAAATCACTTATAGAGGTGAAATCTTTAATATCCCTAGACGATATTATAATATTTTCTTCTGTATCTTGACGTTTCAAGTGGTGCCGTGGTTGTTCTGATCTACCAAACGGTGAAACTTGCTTAGGACGTTTAGGTCTGTCATCTTCAGTTTCATAAGTAAATTTACCATTCCATGTACCTGTGCTTCTTTCATACGATGTCAGGGTATCTTTTGTTTCACTGGTAGTCTTTGAAGAACTCTCTTTTGATATATTTTGCTTTTCATTAGTTATTAATTCCGTTGTTTTTCTAATATTGTCAGAATCAGTAACATAAGTTGATACGTTGTCAGACTTGATATCTTGACTATCTGTTTGCCGTCTATTGTTTTCATCTACCAAGTACCTGTCTTCTACATAATCAGATGGGTGTTCAGTAATAGCTTGTTTTTTAGTTAAATCACTGGCATATACATTTCGCTTGGAAGCAATTTCCACTCCATTCTTATACATTGCAGATTCTTCCGATATTTGAGATGCACTCTTAGGAATACCATCTTTGCCAGTGTCATAATACGACTCTTTATCCAAAACTTGCCTCGAATATTCATGTTCCGGTTTAATACCAGTGCCACTGATATTATGACTTTTCTCATGTGTTGAATGTTCTTTACTATCCCCCCATTCTCTGTGGGCGCTGTCGATTACTCTTTGTTTTCCATCGACAACTTCAAATACATAAGATGATGACGATGCTTGCTGGGCACTACTAGTGTTACTTTTCAGTATCTTAGTTGAATAGTTTATATTTTCAGTGTTTGGAACCTGTAAGATGTTTCCAACTTTCCTAAGTTGATCTTGTATGGTAGAATCGTAACCATAAAAGTTAGAAGAATCTGTTTGATTAACATTACGCTTTGTTGAAATTTGATTATTCCTGTTTTCGTGATGAGTTGATACATTTTCTTTTATGTCTTTCTGCTGGATATTAGAATGGGAGGTGTTTGATTGTATGTTTTTATTTTGCATTGTGTTATAATTAGTATTTTCAGAATTCGATTGAACGTTCTGTAAATTATGAGATACATTACCTACGTGAGATTGGTAATGATCATCAGAAGTAATCTGATTCTGCGTTGACGTAAACTGTTGTTGTATGGAGTTATCATTTTGAGAAATAACACTTTCGTGGCTAGTCAGTTGTTTTCCATCTTTAATATACTTCGAATCTTCTCTTACAGTCATTTCGTTAATAGGTCTTGCTCCATCTTTGCCAGAATCATACTTTGATTGCATGTCATAATTTTGGGCACTATAGGCAGATTGCGGCTTTATATTCGTTCCACTGACACTAACATATTCCTCATTTGTTGCATGTTCTTTTGCATCGCCCCACTCCCTTTGAGATTTATCAACTATACGTTCTTTTCCATCAACAATTTCAACTACATAAGATGATGAAGATGATTTTGTAACATTACTGCTCTTTGATTGACTGGAATGTGATGTACTGCTAAATTCATTTGTTTTTTTATTTTTATCTAGGGTTCCTTCACCCCCATAGAAATTGTTTGGATTCGTTTTTAAGGTATTTACTTTGTCATCTGGAATATTCATGTGCCGTTCATTCCCGCGAATGTTAACATTGCCTTTTGAAGTGTCGCTACTCACGTTTGAACTGTGTCCGGTTTTAGATAAATTTTGCCGTTCGGACTGAATGAATGAATCAGTAGCATTAGCGCCTTGAGATCTTGACAAAAATGAACCCCTCGAGTTAGTCTGATTGCCTGAACTATCAATAAAGGCAGTGTTTAGAGTTTGATTGGCAGATGAAGAATCGGCAGTCCTGTCAAATGTCTGGCTATGACTGGAACCGGAATGTTCAACAGTTGACGATGTCTGAATATTTTCACTTCTAGATGTTTGGTGCTGTGATGTAGAGGAAGATTCGTGCACAGAAGAGTTAGAAACAAATTCTCCAGTAGTAGATTGTGCCATGTCACTTACTTGAATTTCATTCGATGTTCTAGTTTGTGACAAATCAGAAACCGATGGGGCCTCCGTAATAATGTAGTGCGGGTGGCTGTTATAAAGTTCAGAGACAGTAGAGCCGCTAATAGAAGCATGATCGCTAATGTCTGTTATCATTAATGGATCATCTTGTTCGACCTTAACATCGATGTAGCGAACTTTTTTACCAGACGAACTGACCTTCTGTAAAGTATTACTACTTTTCTGAACTGAAGTCGAAGTGCTGGTCTTCTGCACACTGCTCGATGCACTTTTAGATGATGTCACCTCAGACGTGCTGGACTTAGTCTTTTTATTTTTTATAGTCATTTTGTCACTTTTTCAAATGCAAATTAAATTGAGATTCGTAATTAAATAATTCTTAAAAGTAGAGATTAAATATTCTTAACGCGTAATCTTATCACATATTTAAAACTATTGCCATGTAAATAATGTTTTCGCGAGAGTCGTTCGTGTTCGAGTATCGCTACGTGCGCGCGCGCTGCTTGCGACTGGCTCGCGGAGTCTGAGCGCTAGCCGCCTGCCCCCCACACCTTACGTATCACGCCGCCCACTAGACCTTCGCGAGTCACGACACGTAAGCGTTTACATCTCATTGCTGAACTCACACCAAAAAAGGCATAGAATTACTTAACGATAAACCCTTTCCAGTGAATGAATACGCAACTTATTCATTCCCCGCTAAAATGTGTTTGAAATCCGAGGCCTTTAAGCGGAATCTGGTTTATTAGCAATTGAACTAGTAATTAATTCTGTCCTTTATAGAGTTTCAATTGAAATTACGTCAGTTAAGGAAAAATATATATAATAGGTATTCTGATGCTCCATATGAAATCATATCATTGGTTTCTATTTGTTATTAAAAACAAAATTTAAGTTACGATGACGTTCTCTACATTTAGAAATTTTAACATTAAAAAAATTATAAAGTTAACACAATTTAACATTAAATTTGGTTAAAAGTTAAAACTTAATAATTTATGCCTGCAATAAATGCATAATAAATATAAATTAAAATTACGCAACATTTTGAAAATGTTTTTAAGGTTGTGTCCATTTACAGAGCAACCTAGATTAATGCATCAGAGTTGCGGTTACATTGAGAACCTTTATTTACATATTACTTTGGTAGTATTTATATACAATAATGACAACTATATATCAATGTGGCAGACATCTTTAGTTATTTATTTATAAGTAACCTAATAAAAAAAATGGCGCTACAATCTTTTTAGGTCTAGTCCTCACAATTCTAAATCTGTTTCATGATCATTTTTAAATCTAATAGGCAAGTAGGTGATCAGCCTCCTGTACCCGAAACAAGCCGTCGACTTTTTGGGTCTAAGACATGTCGGTTTCCTCACGATGTTTTCCTTCACCGTTCGAGCGAATGTTAAATGCGCACATAGAAAAAAAAGTCCAGTAGTACACAGCCGGGAATTGAACCTACGACCTCAGGGATGAGAGTCGTACGCTGAAGTCACTAGGCCAACACTGCTCAATGCTGCGACAATATACAAAGCCAAAACATTGTTATACAGAATATGCGAAACAGAAAACATAAGTCAATAAAGTACTTTAATAGATTACTAAACAACTGAAATTAAACATTGAACAAACTACAACTATATAAGTAAAAAGAAATTGCTACTACTGCTAAATAGAGTCAAACTCTTCCCGCTTCATCAAATATTTCCTCACGCCCTCTTTGGTGAGGTGGAACTGGTCTACATCATCATAAATTATTTATTTTTTATTTATTTATTTTGACATCATTATTCTATCCTGACCGTTACTACGATAATTTTATTGTATTGTAGTTAGCCAAAACCCAATACATAGGCGAATCACGCAGATAATTTGTATTCGTACAATTCACTACAGGCTGCAATTTCCCCGTACTAAACTATTCAAAGTTAGTAATTATTTTTTGGGATAAGGGATACTCTTCTTTAATAAAATCCCAGAGGCTATATTTTATCTCTGCGTTTTAATAAATTTAAGAAATGTATTAAAGAAAAGCTGTGTAAAAAGGCTTACACTATAAAGTTAACGATTATCTAGTTGATAAAAGGGCCTGGGACTAGGGCTACAGGCTACTTCTAATTAATTTGCGATATTTGTTTTAAAATAAGTGTTGTTTGATGATTTGCTATTTTAAAAGAGTACCGAGAGTTTTTTACGCCGGCTTTTTCTCTCGGCCTACACCCTCTGTCTTCACTGCCGATGAGTAGCCTACAAATTCAAATTTAATGACGTGGAATAAGTGATACATGTATCTTATGTTCCATAATATACATATTTTACTTTTATTTCAAGGCATATGGAACAATTGTGTAGATCTTGTCGCACACGGGAGAGGGATTCTGAAATAAATGGGATATTATTCAGTATTTCGGATAGATTTGAATAGATTTATCCATATACCTGTTAAATTGTGGCGTCTAATCGGATGAATGTAAAGTAAGATATTTATTGTGTTTCGTTATTATATTGGTTTTCAAATAGGAAGCTTTAGTAACATTGCATTAGCCGTTGAAAATCCACCTTATCGTGAGTTAAGTTCGGTGGCCGTTGTTGTAGATATGTTCAAATATATGTTAAATTAAACACTTTGTTGAAGCTGGGTGTCCACTGTCAACTGGCTTTAATTGTTTAAAACATGAGCTTATAATTAACATAAAGGGGTAGTAGGTTGCGATTAACAAAACTAACTAACTTGACTTATTGAAGAGTTCTTAAATCTAAGTAACACTCATGTTACTGGACATTATCGAAAACGAGTATGCTAAATTACAATTGTGTGTGGTAAAAAGTAAATGGCTCATTTTGGCTTCTAATTATTAACTTAAATAACCTAACCTAACATTAGTTAATTTACATAACTCTTGATTAACCGTTCTTTAAACCAAATTTGTTTGTGAATAAGCGTGCCTGACTGCTTAAACAAAGGTTGAATAACTCTAGAAATCGTGAGTTTGTTTTGGTAAGATATGTATGTTGTATGTTAAACTTTTAATATATTATGGTAAACAGTTACCACAGATGGCAGATGGTCAAAATGGTTACCGAATGGACTGGCAAAAAGACAAAGAATCAAGGGCAGACAAAAAGAGCGATGGGCCGTCGAGATCGAGAGAATAGCTGGCATTGGATAACGACAGCATAAAAAAATAGGGTGGAAAAAGTTGGAGGAGTACCTTCTCCCGGAGACGGGGGTATTAATGAAATTGTATATATATATATATATATATATATATATATATATCTTTTGTAACCGAGATGTGGATAAATAAAGACTTATAATTATTATAAACAGTTACTACACCTTGACTAAGGACATAGCCTTTTAAATTGTATGTAACAGCCGTATTCAAAATTGTTATTTGAGAGTGAACGGTTACGTAAGTCAGTTAAGATTAAAAGGTTTAAGCGGAAGCAAATTGTAACCTATAAATCATTCGTTAACTAATCATTGTTGCTGCTACATCTTTAGATATTTTATAGAATTTATGGACGACAGTAAATTATAGATAAAATAAATATAAGAACTGCATTGTTTTTGAAATAATAATAAAGTAACAATCGAGAATAATCTACAACACGGAGACTGATTTCATTACAATCTGTAAAAAGTCAGTTCAAAAGTACCGTTCCAGTGAATGAAATATTATAAAACAATGAAGCCTTCGAAACCACAGACATTATCCGCAAGAGACGTGGGTTGCACAACTTACCATTTCCAGAGTTATGTGGGCGAGTTGCTTTTTGAATCTTGCACCCACGGATTGATTGCATACGAATATCGCAGATAATAATTACCATTTAGAGCAAATAAGTTGAATATACCAATTTAAATTATTTTGTGACTTTAAATTTATAAGTGACTTCGGAATTGAACGTGAAATATATTAATAATAAACGGCTTAAATATAAGAGTCTTTCCTCCAACTTAGATTTTGTTCCCTTTGGAGTAGAGATTTTTGGGTTCAAGTGCAAAGGCGCTGATTAAAGATTTAAGTTGGCGCCTGGTAGATAGTACCGGTGACCCGAGCTGGTGCTTTCCTGGCTCAACGAATAAGTATCTCAATACAGCGAGGAAATGCTGCCAGCGTTAAAGGTTATTGCCACAGGGACCAAATTTGTTTTAATTTTCTTTTTATTAATTTTTATTATTTCTATGTAGGTTAAGAAAATAGTAAATGCTGTATATTTAATTGTTATGATTAGTAATAAATTCTGTTAATAGGTAGTTAAATTATCAAACTGACAAAACCCTACCGTAGACCTGGTACATTCCCGAATAATAATATTTGAATGTAATTGGTCAAGCAGAAAGATCGAAAGTTTCTGTGCATTTTTTTAGTATTAGATTCGTACACAAGTAATCCTTCTGACAAACCCAAAGGCAACAGATTCATCTGATTCACAGAGTGCCTAATTATATTTTATACATACCATATAATTTATATATTATTGTAAACAAGGTAAATTTATATATGTAGATACTTTTTGTGGCGGCAGCTTTTCGTCGTTTTATTATTATTTTGTGCCGCCCCAATAAATGTATTTCATTTCATTTAAAATACTCGGTTTTAACAAAGCCGCTTAGAATAAGTAAATAAATAAAACATTGAACTTTGTTGATAACTATGCCATATAAAACAAATTCCCACCATTTGTAAGCTTGTATTATCTTTGAAACTACGTATTACAGATTTTAATTATCAAAAGACGTAATGATTTTTAATTCACTTCTCTTGAGAAACTTCATAAATATATCTACCTATAATGGGGCATTGTTTCTTTTTTCACTTTGCTGCTGAAAAAAGTTAGTGTTTGTTATATTTAACTGTTTAAAATTATTGTTACTGAGCGCAGTAGGTTTATTTACTGTAAGTAAGTACAAAAAAGGATCGCCAATATTCAGAAATATTACACGTCAAATCATAAAATATACCAAAAAAATTAACAGTGGTATGTGTAGTATAATGTGGACTCAGTTTCCACTTAGACGCACATTTGGTCCATTCCCAGTCCAGGCTAAGCCAGATTAGCCTCCTTCCAGAAGTTGACGGCGTGTTCAGATACAGAAATCTGAAGCTAGCCTATAAGGTTGTAGCGCTATCGTGTCCCCAAACCAGCCTAACATATGGCGCATATTTCGTATTGAACACCGTGTTCGTATATGACTTCAATGCCAAACTGATATGAAAGTGAAATCGAATTGTATCTCCAAACTAACTGTTCTGATTTTGCAATTAAAACAATGATGATTTCTTAAATTTGAATGAATAAAATTCAATGTG